CAGAACACAAGCGGTTCTCCGATTGGTTATTGAATTGTGAAAAGATGGCATTCTCATGCAATACAAAACATTTGGAACATGTTTTCTGACTGAATAGCACGTAAGATTAAAAGTCATCTGCTTAATTCACAGCCATTTACAAGTCAACCACTCAGGCAATTGCAGAATCGTTTTGAACCTGAGCTTGTGAGACAAACCTAATATCATTGGATTTAAACACTTCTTTAATCTTCCGAAAACATTACTCCTTTAGCTCATATTCCAAAGAATATTAAGTGAATACAATTATTGCCAAAGAAATTGAATATTCATTTGCCCTACGGCTTGGTAGTTTACTAACGAGTTAACAAAACTTAAATTCTGCTTTTTGTGTCAAAGAATACAACAATATTTTAAATATTTACAAATAAAATATTAATTGGAAATTTAATTGGAGCCTCATCAGTTGCCTAGCATTTGAAAAAAAAATATGTTAAATACTAATTGTTTGCTGCTCAGTCTAACCCAGGCTGCATGGTTGGTTTTCGTAGTTTTTTAGGTTCTCTTTACAAAGATTCTCTATGAAAGCATCTTAATCAAATAGCTCCCATGTTTTTTCTATGTTCAAATAACCAACTAACCTAGTTTAAGCGCGATTTCCAAGTGAAGTTACTAGTAAAATCCGAATACTCATTAAAAATCATGTAGCTAGCCAATCGGGAGTAACATGAAAGATACGGCGCCAATAATTGGAATGTTGTTACGGTACGCTGTTTCTTAACTTAGATGATCATTCCTTAATTAAATAGCCCACTAACGGCCGAGCGGTAAAGACGCTGAACTCTGGTAATTCAGTCCGAGGTTCGAATCCCGCGAACGGGCTGGCCGCATGGGCGTTTTCGTGGTTTTCCCCCATGTGTAACGTGTATACGAGCCAGTTTCCCTTAGAAAGTCCTCCACGAAGGCATCCCTCCCTTTAGGCAGATAGCCCTCGTGTGCTTTGCCATAATTAAATAATCCAATCCAATCCTTAATTAAATATAATTGATTTGTAAATTCTACTAGAAACTGACGGTAAGAATTGAAGTGGAAATAATATATGGTGTGCAATCTTGATTAATAAAATTAAAAATATTTGCATAGAAATGTTTGCATTCAGACAGAAAGTTTTTTGAAATATTTGCATTACTTTATAAGAAGGATTTATTAATAACCGTAATAATTACTTATTATATTACTGATGATTAGGATTCAGTTCTTGACAATTACATTCTAAATTAGAATTTTAAGGATCTATGAAAAACGCTACGCACAAAAACATTTTAGGAAAAAAAATGAGTTGATTTTTTATGTTTAAAACTTCTTAAATTCATTTAGTAAACATCGTATCCTCGTAGTTAATTGAATCCAGAATGTTGTGTGGTCGTTTATATAATTATTCTTACTTGTCCACAGAAGCTCCTGACTTATCCAACCATTAAGTAGCTGCAGATCATTTCTACATAAACCACTTGAACTTCCACTAATTCAGTCTCTAGAGGGTTGTATGTTTATATCATAATTTGAGTTATATAAATGATTATTCTAAATCTTATGCTTCTATAAAAATATACTGTGGTTTAAAAATATGGATATAGTATCAGCCGCTCTTTCAGCCACTTCAAAAGCAACAGTTGTTTAGAAAAATTATGCAGTTAATGTCATAAAATTCAAATAAATATCAAACGAAATTCTCAGGTTTTAGACAATTTGATTTAAACGAAGTAAGTAGCAGACGATAAAACGCCGAAGGTAAAATTTACTCTTACAAAAACTTACTCTTAAATTTTTTTTAAAAAAGAAAAGATACGAGAGAAATTTAAAAAAAAAATAGTTAAAATTTGAATAATATCATCTATAATTTAAAAAAATAGTTTTCATTAGTATTAATAAATATTTATTACGCATCATTGAGGGAAAAAATGTTATATAATTAATTCTCGTAAAATTTACTTGAAGTTTAAGGTTAAAATAGCTGTGGCAATTCAGTGTAACAAAAATCCATAGACCACATTTGGCGTTATTATCGCTCAAAAAAAAAGTGCAAATTTCAAAACGCGAAAATATGTAAATTCGTGTATATCTAGAAAATTTGAATAAAAAAGTCTAATTTTTTTGCAGATATGCTTAAAAATACACCTACTTTAAGATGATGGAAAAATTTTATAGGTTAATAATTCAAAATGTTTTAAAAAAATTTATAAAATTATTTAAAAATAAAATTTAAAAAATAAAACACAAAAAATGGGTAAATTTTATTGGAATGAACCTAAATTTCGAAATGTGAGAGAAAAATCAAAAAAGTTTAATAAAAAAGAGATATTAATAAATATTTGCCAATTCAATTAACATTGAGGAGCTAAAATTTTGAGAGCTTATACGATTTTTATTGGTATTCTATATAGTCGTAGAATCGAAATATGGAAAAAAATTGGTATGTTATTTCAGAAAAAGTCCGATTTTGTGTCAAAATACCTATGTTAGAATAGTGCTATATTATATCTAATATATCCTAAGCGCGCAAGAAAAACGCAGTTTGAATTTGTCAATCGGCCCAGTAGAACGGAGATATAGCACTGTCCCTTTTTTTTTTTTGTTTTGTTTTGAGCGCGTCATTATTTAAAAGCTTTGCAATGTATCATATGCAAGTGTTCAATCAAAAATTATACGTAGAATAATTTCATAGCAACATAAGTATCATAAGACAGTTTGAAAAGGTTTTATTTAATGGCTTAAAAAAAAAAAAATTAAGAAGCAGGTTGAGAAGACTCTTTGATATCCAACTGAAGTTAAGACTTTACAGCAGTGCATGCAGCTGAAGAGAATTTTTTCACTATCAAAGAACATTAAAAAAAATGCCTGACACGACCAGAAAGCTAAAAGAATTCTTGAGAAGTTAGATAGAGATTGCAAGGTTAAAGACTGAATTGTGGAAAGTATTAATAGATAACCCTCATCTTTCCTCTGAACAAATTCATCTTCTCATTCTTAGTATTTCAAGATGAATGCGATTTTTTTTTTTTTTTTTTTTTTTTTTTTGGAAGAATAAGGAAACAAAGCATACAACAATAATAAATTCAGTTTTCAAATGAGATGACAAAAGATTGGTTTAGGCTATTTTTAATAATAAAAATATATGAAAAATATTTTAATAAGATTAACTTTAATAATACCTAATTAATATCTAAAAGTTCAGTAATTCATTCTTAAATGAAAATGATGCAAAAATATTTACATGCAAGAAACATTTTTATTAGTTGCAAGTTTAATAGAAAAATACTCTAATTAACATCTGGATACAGTTTTGCATAAGTATAGTTTTGCATCAGTTGCTTTGCTTTCATCCATATAGGGACAGAAATGAACTGTTTTAATTCAATAAATAGCTGAAGATTATTTTTCATAAGCAATTTCACTGTCGGGAAATATTTTTCTAAATGAAGTTGTAGCATGATTCGATGCATTTGGTAGCAGGTTAAGCTCCAGTTAAAATGGCAGATAACAGGCATTCTGGTTCTCTGCCCAATAACTTTATGATCCTTTGTTTCCATAGAAAAATGTTTATTTTTTTCTTTCAGTACTACTCATGCTATCCTCTTGTACATACATGTTTAAAAGTTTCAGCCCTTCCACCATGCAAAATCAAAAATCGCAATGATAGACTGTTTGCATCACAAATATATTACATATTCTTGAAGAAATAATAGAAGGAAAGTCATCTGTGAATGACTTAAAAAAAATATATGAGTATTTCGGCTTTTTTGCAAATATAACTAAGAAAAACGATTGCAACTTCTTAAACTATTTTTAGGAAGCATATAAAACTTGCAGCACTCAGTGGCAAGATGAATAAAATTACAACCTGGATCTTGTTTTGTGCTCAATGGCTAATATATGCCAGATGACCCACAGTGGCACTTGATGCTTAACACGATGTTTTTGGGTATGTATGCTCTCACATGCAGAGCAGAAGTAAGTCATAGCACATCATTAATGAAATGGCTTGGTTTTCTTTTATACGTAATCTACAGCAGGGTTTCTTAAACTGTGGGTCGCCAAAAATTTTAGCAGTTTTGATATTTCTTTAACTTATTGTAATAATTTTATAATTACCAAACATTTTTATATAATGTATCTGAAAATAAAGATAAGACAATACAAAGAAAAAAATGAAAACATTTCTACACATTCTTTTTATAATATAAACTTTGATGGCAGGTAAATTGAATTAAGTATTGAAGAAAGAGCCAAAATTGCAGCAAGATACAAGGTGATTAAAAAAGTTCTCGCCATTTCTGATATGACATTGGAAGATTAAACCTCAGTGGCTAGGACGGGAGTTCGGACATTGATCAAGAGTATAAAAGCGTGTTGCATCGGTACTTCAAACATAACTCACACAGCGACTGATTGAAATGGATGCGTCAAAGACGCTCGCTCGGTGTTGTTTTCTGTATGATTTTAAAATGGGCCTGCCTGCAGTAGAATCAAGTCGCCGAATTTGCCAGAACTTTGGTGATGATGCCATTAGCGGATGAACTGCTAGGCAATAATTCCAGAAGTTCAGGTCAGGGGATATGTCTCTTAGTGATGCACCAAGCAGCAGTTGGCCAGAGAGCAGCCATAGAGAGTGATAGTAGCTAAAACGTGGTGAGCTAGCTGCATACTTCCAGGTATCCAATGAAACAATCAGACTCCATTTGCACCGCTTAAGAAAGATATACAAGCTGAGCAAGTGGGTACCCCCATACAGTGTCTAATGCAAACAAGCAACACTGCATTGTTACCGGTTTGTCATCTCTTACTCGGCACCGCAATGCATTCATATTTGATTGAGTACTCACCATCGATGAAAAGTGGGTCCAGTATGTCATACCCAGGCTTTCCAGACATTGTTGTCGCCATAGGACCCTGTGCCTCAAACTTTTCTCCACGCAAGATCATACTCTGTATCTGGTGGACGAGTCACCAAGTGGTGCACTATGAGCTCCTGCCAATGGAACAAACCATCATGGCAGGCCTGTACTCGCAGTTGGAACGTGTGCATTTGGGCACTGATGCATAAAGAGCCAGCATTGGTCAATCGTAAAGGTGTTTTCCTCCTCTATGACAATGTGAAGCCGCATGTGGCTCAGGAGGCCAGAGACAGCATCCAGCGACTATGCTGGGAGACACTACCCCATCCACCATATTCCCCAGACTTCGCACCAACAGACTACCACCTTTTCCATTCCCTGGACAACCATCTTTGTGGGAAATTATTCAACAACCGGCTAGACCTCGATAAGGCCCTCACAAACTTCTTTGCGTCCAAGACTCCTGAGTTCTATTGCGATGGCACTGCACAGCTAGCCACTCGTCAAAAGGCACTGGATGTTGAAGGTGATTACTTTGAGAATTAGCGGTGATTATTATTTATTTTATAACTTTTTCTTTCTGACTGTTCAAAATGGCAAGAACATTTTTGGTTACCTTGTATGATGTGCGGTAGACTGTAAATCATGTTCAAAGGTGGTGGAGGTCTTGACATGGGAGACATGCTGTTCTAGGTGCAGTTTGAGCAAAGCCAATCAAAATCAACAAGGCAGTCTGCAAGAAAGAGTGGTTTTACATGCTACACTGTGGGTGCCATTCTCTATAAAAAGTTGCATTACAGACCATGGTGGCCTCATTACATCCAACAATTGTTTCCAGATGACTGTGGTAATGCCTACTGAATTTTGTGAAATGGCGCTCGCATGGCATAAAGATAATTCAAACCCTTTTAAAGAACTTCTTTGGAGTAATGAAGTCATCTTTTATGTAGGGGGTTTGTTAGTCCTCACAATGGCCATTATTGGGGAGATACAGTCCCAAAGACATAGCTGAAAGAATATTGCTCAAAATTTTTTTAAAGTAGTACTCTCGAGAAACATTAACAATGGTATGCAAAGATGCTATACAATGAATGGTATAATATGTGTGCTACTTTTAAATAAAAGAAATATATACAACATTAAATAAAATATCTCCCTCAATAACTTACCCAGTCAGGAACTGGCACTACTCTTCCATAATTTATACCCCCAGGTGAATACGAAACTGAAAATACATACA